TTTTTTTTTATTACTTGCTAGTTCATATGATATAAAATATCTTTTTAAATACTAAATAATTAGAACAAAAAACCACAGAGCACACACACACACGCCCAATCGTAATTTTGATTTCATTGTTTTTATACTGTATAAGTGCAGTTGGCATTATTCATTGAAGGCTTGTATTCTGTAGTAACTACAGTTTACTATTAATCCTATTAATCCTCACCCTTCCAAAGACACGGCCGCACTTGCCTCTGATCAATTCCAAGCTATCAGCATTCTTTTTCTGTGGCATTAAACTGCTACCTGTGCTGTGAAAGGTTAGGAAAACTAAATGATAATAATCAATAATTAAATTATAAAAGAGAAGTAGTAAATTAGTTAGAAGTTTGATACAAATAATCCTGTAGAGGGTGCACTTTGTTTATTGTTTATCCTTGCGCACTCTGGAAGCCATGTTTCACAGGAAGGCTTGATAATTCATTGCTCGATAATCAAAAATTATTATGATGGTGAATTATTGATATTAATATTCTGGTTCAATTAAGGTGCTAGTAGTTCACTAAAAGAGGTGCTAGTTAAATGGTGAAAAAGCTTTGAACTTGAATAACGGCAGTACACTTATTGAATTTTAAAAAAGAAATAAATATACCTGTATGCATCTGATAAAGTGACAAAGCTAAATTCTTTTGAACTATACAAAATAAGGTCTTCAGACAACTTGCTGAGGTGGAGCATGGTTTGAGAAGCCCAGAACAGAAATTCTGTCACAAAATCGCGAGAACTAACACCATCAATACTGTTTGCCGTTACCCCGAGAAATCCAAGCTCTGAAATATAAAAATGATTGAGTGCGCTACTTAGCCATATGGAAATATTACATTCAGAATACAGATTTTTTTTTTTCAGCTTTTATACATCCCACAGGTGAGCATGCATACATGCATTTCTACATTTCTATGCCTGGTAAAAATGGAAATATCCTGATAATTGTTTACTTACCTTCTGCTAGAAATTTCCTGTCAACATTGAATGGATTACCAGCTATAGCTCCACTAAAAATAAATTACAGACAGACAACATAGTTACCAAATATATTTGAGGGGCAGTTTATATGAGGAAGACGAAAATAGGATACATATATTCAAATAAATGTCCCCTAATTTCACTGGAAAAAGTAGAGCATAGCACAAAATTATTGTCAAGATGATTGCTTATTAGATAGATGAGGAAAGGTGGTAAATCACTAAAACAAGGTACTGTAATTGTAGGTGAGATAGGTAGGATGTAGATAGACTACAGGCAATTTCAAGGATTGTTATACTTACGATCCAAGTGGTAAATAATTAAATCTTTTAATAAATTCATCCATGTATTGCAAGTCTCGTCGAAAAGCCCAAGCATAACTGTTAATGAAACAACACGACAGTTAATGTTCAACTTTAAAGTTTACATATATATTCCAGAACATCACATATCAGTGTAATGAATTTTAATATTGTAACAAACATAAAACATTACCATTTTTTACAATCTAAAAGCCCATACAGTTGCTGCAGTGCTCATAGTATATTTAATGTCTGCACCATCTGGTCTTTGTTTGTTCTACCTGTCATTATAATACTCTTGTACAATGAACAAAATCGACTTGGCAAAAAGGTCTTACAAATGCAATTTCCAGTGGCATACCTAGAAGTATTGACATTGGGGTGAAGGAAGGGTTGATGAGGAGCACAATTAGAAAGTGGTGGGGCACTAGCTGAGGGAATGAAGTGAAAGAGGAAACTCAGAAAGTTGTCAGTGGAGAGGGAGAACCTGGTGAAACAAACTTGTTCTTGGGGGCCACCATCTCCATTAGATTTGCCACTGCATATTACACCACGTAAATTAATTTAAAAATATTAAAACTTTTTTAGAACTAGGCTTAGTTGTAACATATCAAATTAAAATAAGGCGTGAATTACCTTAGGAGCCAATGGCTCCACCTGATTGGCTGGGCCCTCTAGAAAATATATAAATAAAAATTTGAAAAATTAATTAAATTGTATCATATGCATTAAATATTGTCAACAAGAACACCGTACATAATCACATTATCATACCAGTTTTGCTGTTTCGTTTTTTTTCAGATTATTTTGCGATTTACGAATATTTTGTATACAGCCTATTTACAGCGCCTTCAGTCTGTGTATTGTGGATGGTGATAGAAAAATATTGAAGATTCTTTGAAATAAAACTAAAACTGTTCAATACATGAGATAATAAAATATAAGAAAAGTGCTAAACGATGATTGAAATGGCTTAACAAAAAAAAAATGAGATCAGTATTTGTTGCCTTTTTTGTGGAATAGAATATCCCATTATTAATTACCTTTCCACTGACTTCATTATGGCTATCAATGCATTCTGCAAATTTGTGTAATATTCAATCAAATTAGAATTGGGGTCAACTGAGAACTAAGCACCTACTTAAGTTGCTCTCTAGCAAGTTGGTATCAAACAATTAATTTCATGTTAGTGTCATCCTCCATGTGTAATGAAAATGTGACCATCTACAGCATTATATCCCTCTTGGTGGGGTTACTCCATTAAAAATATGTCTATATATCTCTAATAGAGTGATTACTCAATATGATACCATAATTAATTTTTTTAGACATTCAGAAAACATTCAGAAAAAAAAAACTGTAACAATTGAAAAAAAATGAATAATTTATATGATTCAAATTTACAATTGAAAGCTAGTAACTTATTTAAATCAGAAAGTATAATACATACTCCAAGTATTGAAATACACGCCATCGTGTTGGGATTCAATATGACTGTGATTTTGAATCATTTAAAGACGTGTCATGGTGACATTGTTGCTTTTGGGGCCCCAAAGCACTTGTCTGAATAAATAAATGAAATGATATTTAATCTTGAAGTTTATTGTTGAGTGGTCACTACGAAGGTTTCTAAGTACCGCTAGGTTACTTTTAACGGGTATATGAGTTTATGAGTAGGACTGATAAAGGTGGAAATCATTTATAAGTTCAGCGAACTGACATGGGAATGGATCATGTCGACATTAAAATGGATGCTAAAGTCTCCTAATGGCAAAATTTGAGATACAGTAAAGATGAGTGGTAATTCGTAAATGAATTAAGCACTGCTGTATGACGTAGAACGATAGATTGCAATAAACGGGAATTATACTGTTTTAGAAAACACTTCACATGACCTCCAATGCAATTTGGAATCCGAGTATTTCTTTATCCAAAAATGAAACTCCTCCGCCTCGTTGTCCATGCCTTGAAACATGAAAGAAAGCATATCCTGCAGGAGAGAGATCAGAGATAATAGCCGAATCATCAGGGTGTCACATGCAGCTATGTTTCTGTAAAAATGCATAAATCATAATTGGATTTATTCGGTGTAAACACCAAGGATAGCCCACGAAAGTCTAGAAGAAGACTTATTTCCAGTGGGGTACTTCTGGTGGTGATTGGGCAGTACACCGAGAGACAATCCCCTACTCTTTTCAGAAGAGTGTACTGCGTTCTTTAACGTGCACATGGGCCATAAATGCACACAGGACCAACGGCTTAAACATAAATGTCTCATCCAAAAGGCGGAGCACTATTGTAACTTGCATTTCAGCCCTCCAGCTAGAAACACAAGGAGAGGCAGCGATGGGAATTGAACCGGGGACCTACATGTACAGATCTTCACGGTTCAGCACGCACACAGTGGCTACCACCAGATTAGCCGACTGAGCTAAGCTGCTCTTATTTTCGATACTAATATTATAGAGTATAGTTGATTTATTGCATAAAGATCAGTTATTTAAAAGACAGCAAGAAATACCAAAAGAGCTACAGTACTTAGCAACAACAATAATAATATAGTATTAGTAGTGAATAATATTTAAATATTTTATTAATGACTTTATTTTTTTCTTTCTAATGCCAATTACAGGATGTCTTAAAAGTCAGGTTGAGGCTCTGAAGGAAAAAATTTTTTTATTTGTTCTACTTACGCCCCTTTTCCCTCCAGTTTTTATATATTCAATAATGTGTATCTCATTAACCATTTTTCGTCAAATATGCTTATTGTGTCTTAGAAAAATCAGTTGTACAACCTATCAAAACATTGGTTTCCTCCAGAGCCTGACTTTAACATACACAAACAAACATAAAAACAAACATAAAAATAGACACAACACAAGTCACAACAACAATACAGTAAATATCAAAACAATAAACTCATCCCCAGCCCCAGCAGATCAGTAATTACATTTTCCTAGAATATAATTGGTCTGAAATTTTTGTTCCAATACTAATATGGCACATATTATTTTATAAGCAGGACAGCACATAGCATCTATAACTCTGTATTTCTTAACGCAAAACATTATCATTAATCTACAGGGTAGCACATTGCAAGCTGAGCACGTACTGTATTGCCTAGCTCTGAATAATTAGATACTGTTGTCATGACAACAAAGTTCATGACTCTCATTGGTTATTTATTATTCTGTTCACACAGAGCAAACAGAAGCAAAACAATTGCTTTGCCAACCTTGTCAGCATTTAATAGATATGAACGCCTTGGAGAGTGCTTTAGCTATCTAAAGGACACACATACATCAGACTAAAAGGATAAAATCATTTTTATGAATTACAATACTAAAAAAAAAAAATATACTTCAAATGTGGGAACAAAATAATAAACCCCCTTTTTAAATTAAAGTACACCATATGTTTTCTCTATGAGTATACATTCACAGCTTTGTGTAAATCAATGCTGTCTACCTGTCTGTTCAATTGTTAGCCGGATTAGGCAAAAATTATTGAATGGATCATCAAATACAATGAAGTGGTACATTGTGGTGTACAGAATAGAAGAGGTGATTCAATTTTGGAATTTAAAGGTTAAAGGTCAAGTTTAAAGTCACGGAATTAATGGAAATCACATTAATAATGATTATGCAGAAACTAATGAATAGATCATCATAAGACTTTATGGAGTGATACAAAGTTAATTTAAAATGACTAAATAAATTATTACAAATATAAACTACACAACACATTAAAAAAATTAGTTTATACTGTATGTACACAATATATTGCATCGAATCAATCATAAAAAAAAATTGAAATGTCACATAATATAATATTTAAAAAATTTTGTCATCTACTTACTTGATCATTTCTACTTCTTCCTGTATGAAGCTTACCAGCAGGCGCTCCTATGAATTCCTTGAGACGGCGTTCATTTGCGGTATGTATATCCTCATCATTAGGCTGCAGTACAAACTCACCACTAGCCCATTCATCATGTACCTAGGTTACCAAAAATGATGCAGGTCTTAAAAAATAATAAAGATAAGGGGCAGTTGGCTTTGTTATTTCTGAGGAACAAAAAATACACCCTGCCATGACAGAGAAAAAAAAAATAGCCTTTTCACATGAAACTTATGCCCAGTTTAAAGACTATAAGAGTTTTGAAATACAAAGTTATCTAGGGTATTGTCCAGTTAACCTAGATTAAGATTGTTTGATCAAAACCACTATAGTTGTGTATCTACTGGTACCTGTAGTTTAGGGAACATACCATACCACTACATCAAAACAAAGCTGGCACTCCCCCCCTCCCCAACCCCTAAAAAGTTTTGAGTACAGCTTAGAATACCCACCCACATGATAAAGCTCAAGCCTTGCAGAGTAGCGTACGCGATTTTGATTTTCATTCCTCAGTATACTGTACTTTATTTTTAAATCAGATTCTCTACTTGGCCTCTTTTTGGATAGGCTAGTTCAATATTTTGTTAATACAATTATAATAATAATGACTAATGAATTAACAGTTAGTCAGCGGTCTTATTTATGGTTGTAGTATGTGTACTAAGCCTGAAGGTGTCGCTTTCCTGTGGTACATACTGTACACTACTCTGCTTTTTTTCGTCGCCTAGTCAGCACTCTAGTTGTTTAATAGCTCTATGGTTGACACCTATATCTGAATATAATGGATAGATGTCTCTACTGAAGTATAAAAACTCAGTTAATTGCCATATTTAAAAGATAAATTATCATACAAGATACAAGATAAAAATTATCCAAATCAGGGGTGGATCCAGAGATGTCCAAAAGGGGGAGCCGGAAGGGGTCCGAAAGTGGGGCCGATAAAGATAACAAAACCCTAGGGGGTCCGAGGACATGCCCCCACGAAATTACTATGTTCTAGACGCCCGAAAATAGCCCCTGAGGCCTTTAGGGCAATAATTCTTTTAATTTTGTTTTTTCTCTAAATCCCCCCTGCAAATTACCTTGTTAAGACCTTGTTGAATTTCTTTCATCTCTGCCTCAGTAACAATGCCGACCTTTTTGAGAGCCTTCACATAGGCTTGACTCCCTTGCAAGTCTTCCTTCCATAACCGCTTATCAAAAGTAATAGAGGCATTAAATCGTTCCATGATAGGATCCGTAGCTCCTGTAAATCTACCACCCCATAGCTTGCCAACCTGTGGTATATGAAGGAACAAAAGATATTAACATATTAGTAAGAGAAGATTTAGGCTATTTAAGGCCTCGTCTCAAAATGGTAGTGTAAAACATTTGTGAATGATAAATATTTAAAATTTTAAGTGGAAAATCAGCAAAAAGAAATATTTAGCACTCTTTCCAGGGTTGGTTTGGGAATGAGCATTTTAATGCATTACAATCTGTTTTGCTGGTATCATACTGATTTAGGTAACATTATTCAACTCAATAACTTTGGTACAAATTTGCTCAATTAATGTAAAAATATATCAGTATCAAAAAATTTAGCTTCAAAGCTTATTGTACATTGGCAATGGAACCAAAACCAACGTGATACCAGGCGGCAGCATTTTAGCTGCTCCACAAATCAAATAAGGCATAATTAATTGGGTAATTTGTCAGAATGAAGTATATACAATATATTAAAAAGGAGACATTTGGGATGGGTTGTACACTTCATTAGTTTGGCTATCTTTATCATCAGACCAGTGTTCTAAGACTAATCACAGAAGAAGTAATATAACGAATATCAGTTTACCTTTTCCATGTCTCTTGAAAATATCAAGCCTGTGTATCTACAAATGCAAGATTATAAAACATACCTCATGACTAGAGCATATATATCTGTCTCTTATAGACATCTAGATGTGTATAAGAGACAGTCATGTACCTAGGTTACCAAAAATGATGCAGGGTTAATGATACTGTAATTAAATTACACAGATACTTCAATTAGCTGGTACTGATTTTTAGTAAAAGAATAAGAAGAAAAAACTTTTCTATACTTTTCATCAGAAACTCTCAAATCGGATGGTATGATTAACAAATGTGTGTAAATATGTCTGTAAGCCTTTAGGTAAAGGTAAATTATCAAAGGCAGATACAGGGGGTGGTAAAAAGAGCTCCCATCCCCTCCCCAAAGTGTTAAAATTTGCTAAAAAGCCTGGGGGTGACCGATACTATTTGTTTAAACCCCTGGTGGTCAGATTGTTAATGAATAAAGTGCAAGAAAAATGAACACATTATATAAATACAATAAATAATTACTACAGGCCTGTTATATTTTGACGAGTTGATGGGTATTGTAAAATACATATAAAAAAGATGTAGGGCTAATGAAATAAAACATGTGTTAGAATACACAGGGGGCACAATATGTTATTGCATTATTAAATAAAACCTATTGTCTTTTGAATTAGGCCTACAAATGAATACGTTAGAGTTTTGAATAATGACTGCTGGTATAGATTTTATTATTATGTCAATATTTGGTTTATTAATGGCAGGCAGACAGACCATGTAGCTGTATTCCTCCATGGACAGATCTACCAGGTGATAAAGTATACTTAATAGAGCAATACGAATCGGGGGAAACCAACTTGAGGGTGGTGGCTCAATGTTAGAATGAGATACATTTCTACAGGTCAGGTCCTACTACAGCGGAAACAGTTCAGAACAGAACAAATATGAAATAATTATGATATAATGATGGTGATGATGATAGAGGATGAGGATGACGATGATGATAATTACCATGGTGGTACTGATGTTGACATAGGCAGTGGCATAGCTTGAGTGATGGAAATCAGACTAAAGTGAATGCATCCAAGCTAGAAAGGGCTCTGGTCAGCATGCATGGACAAAAGCCAGGGGAAAATCAGTAGTTTTGTTGAGGTATAATTTGTCAGTGAGCGGTTTTTATATTTAGTCTTATACTGTAGTAGTAATACTTCAGAAAGTGAAACGATCAATGGGAGGTCTTTAGGAAGGAAGGGACCAACAGGTCTGATGTTGTGTAAAGATCAATTTCAAAGATTTGTTATCCTTTAGTACTTCAAGAGCCCCCCCCCCCCAAATTTTCAAGGGTCCACATTTTTTCCAAAGATATTTTTTAGGGCCTTTTCACAATGACATTAAAATGGAAAAACATTGATGAGGTACAAGCAATGAGTGCAAAGACCTTGCCAATTGCATGACGTAGTCTATCTCAATTCCAGCAATTCTAAAAAAACTGAGCCTGCTAGAGTCCGCTTCAAGCTGGTTGCTCTATAATCGATTTTCTTTTCTTTCACTGAAAAGGTCCAAAAAATTATGATCACGACCCACCCAGAAAAAATCCTAGATACACCCCTGGTCGGGAAGAAAAACCACAATTCGTCAGGGAGAAAAAAAAATCAAAAAAATTGTATGTATTTTGTACATACATAGACTCTGAAATCGATTGAATACTATGTCCCGTGGACCACTTTCGAAAGGTTTTTAATGACATCCGACCACGCCAACTTTTTCTCGTCTTGGACATCGGGGCGCCACCACTGAGAACAAGCAATATAATATAATTACAAGTTCAAGTTACAACCAATTACAGTATCTGGGGCCAGAGGATTGCAAAGTGGCCAATTGAGGTCCAGAGTCTAAAAAGCTTGAGGAAAAAAAAAAATCGGTTCTGAATAATGTAAAACATTTTGATTGTATGGCAAGTTTGGAATTACCGGTAGTCATTTAAACTCATTGCTTTGCATTGCACTGGGATTGTTGTGGGAATTGTTGATTTCGTGAGTGACGTGCATAAAAACCGACATCCACACCCACCACTCCACCCTGTCTGACAAGCCTGGTGGAGACCAACCACGCTATCTTTCATCTGCCACCCTTAATCACTTGATCCCCAGGCCAAAAAAGGGACACCCAACCTCTCAAATTCTAGTCCTTATTTGCCACTCGCAACCCCTACTGGACCATGAAAAAATATAGGCCTAGGCCTAAGCTTATGAACGAATGCGTAAACAACCCTACATGCAGCAGAATACTGTACAGTACTTATCTACCCAGGGAGTTGTTACGTGAAAAGCTAGGCTAGCATCGTTGTCAACAACGTCGAATATGGTGGGGCAATAATTAACAACTCCCTGATCTTCCTACGCCTACCCGTAACCCTACTCTAATACTAGACTGGCAGTAGTGGATGCTTAGGCTTAGCTTTATTGGCGTCCTAAGGGTAATGTGTGCCTACTGTCTGTCAAAAACTTACATTAAAGGCTAAGTATCGGCCCAATCTACCTTCTTATTTCTCTGACCTACACCTCCTGATAGAAGTACGATCTACAACCAACAACGTGTTTATGAATGAAATCAATGAAATGGAAAATAAATACAGTAAGTCTTACAAGTTACTGTGTCGCCCTCTATCAACAGAAGTTTGCAAACTTTTCACAAAACAGAAATCAAGGAAAGGAATATAATTTCATTGTCACCAATTCTACAAGATACAGTCGGAATAATGAACACAAATTTGCATTAGATAAACCTGTGATAGAAATTATTCTTTATTAGCATAGGCATAATATTAAAGTTGTACTGTGTTATTATTTACAATTTATTTGCAAACCATTAACAAAAAGAACATGAAGAAAGATGTGCTGGTTTATTACTTTTTACATTTACAGTAACTGCAACTGTATTTGTGTACACATTCATGGCATAAATATACCTATGCATGTATGTATATTGTGTACGTATTTATGCATGTAGGCCTATGTACATATGTGTATATTTGCACAGCTGCATGTATATGTGTTTATGTAATATTAATGTTATACTGTATGCATATAGTCTATGTATAAAATATGTAGGCCTATGATATTTAATACCGGTAAGTTCTCTATTTACATAACTCTGTATTTCTCTGTTGAAGATATTTGCGACGTACCACTAGGTGGTGAGTGTAATCGATGTAAATGTAATTTTGGTTTTATCCGTTAAAAACGTTCGCTAATAATCGAATTCTCGCAACAGCCACTGCCAAAGGTCTTCTTCAACTTACTATGCAGTTATATTCTAAATATATTTTAAAACGTCAATTTCAAAACAGTAGGTCTTCAGACATAGGCTCCTTGTCTGCATAGGACACATTTCGTAACCCGCACTTTTGTAAATAAATTGTTTAATATCTACACATATAGTTAGTCACCTCGACATTTTGCAAATTGCCCTACCACCCACCCCCCTCTGCCACTGGTGCTGCCGCTGCAGTCAAACTAGTAGCCTAGATACAATCTCACATACTGTAAAAATATATATATATAAGATTGGCGGCATTCAGCGTCCCTAATGCGCTCTCGTGCGGTCTGCAGGGCCAACCCAGTATCATGACGCAAAAGAGCTTTGTTGACAATGCATACAGTGTCTCTGACACCGACTGTAGGAACTATATCATATAATCCAGTGATAGATTAAAGGAATTAAAGTTGTCTTTTTTCAATGTAGATAAAAAAATTATATTTAATTTTAAGTCTGTGAGAGTCATTTCCGGCAACCTTGATGTGCCATAGTCATAAAATGTTCTTACTCCCTGTCCCTCCCTATTTCAAATTCCTGGATCCGCCACCTACATCATATCATTCATTTCGTCGGTAAAAACATTTAGAATACAATGGCAAACATGATTAAAAAACGAACACATCTAAAATCTGGCAATGAAATCGGCGACCGGGACGTACCCAAAAAGGCCCCAGTCTCAGAAAGGCACAGGGCCAGAGGCGGTGCTAGCTGTTGTCCGGAGGGGCAAAGGACCCTGTCGGGGACCTGTGGAATCCCCCCCCCCCCACTCCGCTTGGACCCCCTTGTCGGGTAATTTCCAGCAAGGTCGTCGGGGAAAAATCAGATCTCGAGCGCCGAAAGTGCAATTTAAGCATGCCTTACTAAGCTATAAAATTTTAGGGACTAAAACAGTGCGACAGTATGTGCGAGGTGTGCTGTATACTCCAAGTATTTAAATGCACGCCATCGTTTTGGGATTCAGAATCACAACACGATGGCGTGCATTTCAATACTTGGAGTACGGTATGTATTATACTTTCTTATCTGAGATTAATCAGTGGACCTTTCGGTTTTTGTATATACTATGGCGATCGTATGGGTTGCAGTGGTGGCACCAGCTCTTTCCCGACAGTGGGGCTGGTACCGCCGACAAGGGGACTAGCTGGTACCTCCAACAAGGGGTTAGTATCCCCGACAGGAGACACTTAGCATGCATGTTTTTCTATCAAAGTATCCTTTTTAAATAAAGAATCCCATAATTAACAAATAAATGTTATTATATTTGAATACAAAAGTTCCCAGAAAAATTTTTAATTTTTAAATTTTTCCCCGATCGCGGGGAAGGGGGTGGGCTAGGCTTTCCTGACGGGGGTGGGTGGTGGACCCCCTTGTCGGGGAGCTTGAACCCCTAGTCAGGGAATTTATGGCGCCGCCCCTGAACAGGGCTCCCGACCCCAGTGTTATTCTACTGGTAGCATTCAATTTTTAAAAAGGCAGTCTAGCAAAGCACCATTTTCCATAGTACCCGATATTTTCTAAGCTCCGTTATGTGAGTCGCATAGTAAGAATAAACACGATAAACAAAATATGCATCAACAGAACAAGAACATTCAAAATTCACCATTTTGCTACTATTTTCTATTATTTATTTAGCATTCAATTCACATAACATTTATTTCGTTATAAGCCTATTATTAACTCATGACTATGTAGGACAGATTATACAATATCAATATGAATCATAATAATATAGTACAGAACAATGTAATTACAATAACATTCATAATTTGAATAAGCACTATTAAAATAATTTTTAATGAAAAATGTGTAAATGTTGTTCAATAAATTTGAATTTTAATAAATGCTTGAGTCAAAGAACATTTCTATTTATGTTCATCTTAAATAGATCAGTAATTATTATCTATCTATTTAATTTTACTAATGTTATTGTTAGTTTCACACACAGAAAACATTATTATGTAGTACCGGGCTTATTAATGATAGTGTAATCTATTATACTGGTACTACAACAAAACTATCTGTAAAGATTTTAAGTTCATTATCTGCATTGGGAGTACCCTCATCTCTTAGAATATCTGAAAGTTTGTAGTTGTCACCTGCTAAGATCCCCCTCTGCTCTACTTGCCTGCTACTCCTCTACTGCTGAATCGTCAGGTGATTTGACGTCATCTTCGTTAAAATCAGCTAGAAGCCAAAGGAAAACTTGTATTAATAAATTGTCAAAGTATCAATGGCGACATTCCAACTACGATATTAAACTGTTCGAAGTGAAATCTGGAAATACTCTAAAATATCGAATTAAAACATGAATTTCCTCATTTAAAGGAACAACCCACCAAAAAACAGGGAAATTGAAACTCAAGATGTTTCAAAAAGCCAGACAATTTACTACAGAAATGTTATCATTTAAAATTATAAGAGAGAGTGCACTATACTGTTACGGTCCATGCCTTATTCTCTTTTTAACGAAATAAAACAATAAATAATTGAAGTATGTAATATCCGTATCCCAATGCCTCAATAATATACAGTAGTTTTCAGTCAGTCTGATCAAAGTCATTATTGCAAATGAGAAACTAAGATAATTGGTCATTTACATAATCTCAATTACAACATTATAGAGGCACTGAATCAAGATGATGAAGTTACTGGCAATGCAAGAATATTGAGGGCAGAGGAATCCCACTTGTTGTCAAACATCCGCCACCACTCCAATTTATCAAGACTCGGACAAATAAAGGGAAAAATGTCTTTAAAAAATAGGCCTACATTTTAGGAAATATTAAAATGGCCCAAAGTTTCTCAAGGCACCACTAAACCTTACCATGGGCTTCGACCCGCCCAAATACAGCTCAGGCCCCTGCCTGACGGAGATTTTCTGATTCCTGGCTGAAAGTTTAACCACCAAGCCACCCCTCCTCCCACTAACCACAACAATTCCATATCTTAAATCTTATCCTAAAAATGATAATAAATAACATGATATTCCTGTTGAGTAGGTTTTCCTTTTTAAAATTTGTACCGTTTTTTGTTCTCTTCTAACATTTTCATTATTTTAAAATATTTAGGCCTTTATAATTTTAAAAATCGCTTTTGTCAATGGTTTTTATAGAATTTTTATCTTGATGGATTTTTATCCTTGATCAATTTTAATGTGATTTTCTTTAAATTGTACTTTTTTTGAGAATTTTGTCATTTTGTCGTTTTTATTGGAGACAATAAATTTTATCTTGTATGTATGAATATAGGCTTAAATTGTTTAAGTCTGCTATTTTAATTCATAATTGCTGTAATGTGTAATAAGCAGGTCATTTCTATGGAAATGCAATTCAGTCAATGACAATATGTCTCCAAATGTAAGTAGCTATCCATAAATAGTTACTGCCTTAATAGCACTAGAGACTATGGATCCTAAGATTTTTCAAAATAAACTACAACTGTAATAATCATAACTATAATGCAATTTAAACATATCACTTGGGGTATAGGCGCGTTTCCACCCAGCCTTTGCCATCCGAACTTTTGCAACCCGGCCTTCTGCAACCCGGCCTTTTGCCACCCTGGCTAGACCGGGTGGCAAAAGCCGGGTGGCAACGGGCCAGAATGGCAAAAAGGCCGGGTGGCGCCTATGTTATGTATAATAATGGTGGCTGTTACAATCATTATTAATAATTAATTATATTTGAACTTTATTTAAAAGAAAGTAATTTTTTTTTTAAAGTACCTTCTGCCTCATGAAATTTTAATAAGCAAAATTGTTGCAATTTTCAACTGCACACTCAATGATTACACATGAAAATAAACTAGATGTATACCAAATAAGGTCAACTTGATATATACAACAATTGAGTTTATTACCCAAATATGTAAACAAACACTATATTGCACACTTAATTTATCAAATTCTGCGTAAGTGAACTCTCAGATCTGTAAAGGATCTTCCGATCCCCATTTTCCAGCCCCACCTGTTCATAGATGAGTTCATGTGAAAGCCACTAATTATTTTCCCCCTCATCCTCTCTCTCTCTTTACTCAAGCATTCGAATGAGTACCTCTATGATGTTAATCTTAATGTTATGTATACTGTTTCTCTATTAATGTTCATATTGGGACTACTCCCCAGGGAATGGAGTAGGCTGCACATTTGTGCATGACTGATTGAATTTCATAATAGGATGAAGCACCTGGAGACATTTAGTTGAAAAGCCTATAAAAATGCCAACTATGAAATATACGTAAGAAACTTTGAAGTTTATTCCCACACATAACTGGTAATGATTTTTTAAAGAACAGAGAACTGGTATTTCAGAACAATTATAGAACAAGAATGTACCTGAAATGACCTGTTCATAGCTATGACTGAAACCATCTTCCTTGCTGTCTTCCTTTTTTAATAAACATGCTTCCATGTTTTCTTCTTCTTTGGCAAATTGTTCGTTTTTGTTGTCATCTTCTTTGACAGAACCCTCTTCCGTGTGGTCTTCTTCTTCTTTGATAAAACTCAGAGTATTATCAAATTGTGGCCTGGGTTGTTTGAAGGTCGAGTCTTCGGAGATGACCTCATGGCTTTCTTCCTCTTTACAACTGCAATGATCCTTCACTCTCCTACATCCATCACATACCTTGTTGAAGCCTTCAGTAATTTTCTCTGATAACAGATAGAAGCTTCATGAAATTAATGGTAGTGGTGTTGATACTTATGATGGTGGTGGTAAATCTGACGATGATGGTGATACTGGTGACACTGATGATGGTGATGATACTGATGATGGTGTTGATACTGATGATGGCGATACTGATGATATTGGCAATGAAGATAATGGTGGTGACACTAGACCTAATGATGGCGGTGATAATAATAGTGTTGATACTGATGATGATGGTGCTGATAGTGTTGATATTGATGATGGTGGTGGTGATACTTATGATAGTGGTGATACAGATGATAGTGGTGATACTGATAGTGGAAGTGATATTGATGATTGTGTTAATACTGATGATGGTGGTGATACCGATGATAGTGTTGATACTGATGATGGTGGTGATATTATTGATGGTGATGATACATGATAGTGGCGATACTGATGATAGTGACAGATGATGGTGGTGATACTGATAGTGGAGCTGATACTGTTGATGTGATGATACCGATGATGACTTTATCACTGTGATAATGTTGATAGTGGTGATTCTGATGATAGTGGTGATACTGATTGGTAAAGATATGGATGGTGGTTTTCATATTGGTGATGGTAAACTTTATACGTATTACAGTAAAACTTTTTGTATATATTTCAGTATTCAAAAATCATCTTGAACCAGTATTTTCTACTTTTACCAGTTACTATGAATTTTAATTTTGAAATTACAAAGATGCGTAATTTATTGATGGATTGATAATGTATAGAAATATTAACATGATCTTACCCTACCTCTATTTGAGCGTTTTCTGCCTCTTTTTATAACCCACATCACCAACTTAAAACAGATGTAAACAAAAAACAAGCAACCCAAACACACAAAGAAAACTGATAGAATTTTAATTCCTAGATTGCCAGGTTTCTCTGGAAAAAAAATACAAACGAACATTGACTTGAATTTTGTTACTTATTAATGTGTGTTTTTTAAATGAAAAAAACCCCAAAGTATATATAGTTAGATTTCAAAAAATACTTTATGTTAACAATTTGAAGTGAATTTAAAAACGAAAGTATTTCGGATTTTATTTATCCCAGGACGATATACACAATTAAAATATAACAACGTTGATAAAATCTATATATCTATGCTTATTATTGATGATCTAATAATAAAATACATAGATAATTAAATCATATATAAACAAGACTAATGGAAGCAATATCATTATTGTCAAACACTATAATAGGCATACTCTTGTAGAATTACATTTTTTCCAACCTGGTCAGGGGCGGATCCAGAGTGGGGGCCGAAAGTGGGGCCGATCGAGATAACACTACCTTAGGGGTCTGGCGGCTTGCCCCATGAAAATATGGTGTTCTGGACACCCGAAAATAACCTCTTTTTTTTTTCTTTCTTTTTTTTTCTTTCCAAAAGGAGGCCGCCCCCACCTCGAAATACACCCCTGCTGGTTCCGATCAATAATTCTTTAGGATCACGAAATAACACATAGTAGTTCCACATTTACAGAGAAATTACGGGGCGTTTAATATTTAAGTATATGCGTATCCATTTTTCACCAAAGAAAAAATATACGCCTTCCTCGAATTAAACGCCCCCTCAAAAAACCTTCTCAATAATAAACACTCCGGGGCGTTTATTCCAATAAATACGGTATGCATAGTTACCAACCCGAGAGATTTGAAGTGCATGAGTGACTACACCAGTTGCTGGGGGACGGGGGAAGAGGCCCGGTGGGTGGCTGGCGCTCCGACAATCTGAGCATTTTTAAGCTGTTTTAAAACGATTTTAATAAAGCCACGCAATTTGAGTTTCAATGTAGGCCTACATTTTTGAGCACCCAAACTATGTACACAAACATTTCATTACTCAAACAAACCAGAAATGAATAGGCATTACTGATCAATTTTTATTTACGCGTCAGTGAATTAAATGTTCACCTAAATACCTGACCTGCATGACAGTTTTTATATTATTAAAACCAATTTCTTCTATTGTAAATACATTTTTCCTTGAATTCGTTAGGCCTATAATTTGTTATCACGCATAGACTTGTGCTAAATACGTGACAATATTTATAATCACGCATGTTTTTTGTCCAAAATAACTTTAAAATACGGACCGTCCCGCACGATGCTAGACGGTTGGTAACTATGGTATGTAAATATAAACTGGTTTTCTGTCTTACCCGTTGGTACTAACTCGCTGCTACTTGGCGTCACGAGATTAGCCATATTGATTGCCAAGAAGATGTTCACCAAATTGTGGCTACAACAGCCTGCCAGGATATAATCAGTCAACACATTATGGCTTCCCTGCAATTAAGCTACTGAAGCCTATTACTAAGAAGATGCATAACGATGTCGTTAGCGAAAGACTGACCGATATATGACTCGGATCATGATACCACATCAGATAAAGCTTTTATTCGTTTTGTGTGAAATATATTTGGAGAAAAATAAATAGTAAACTAAACTACAACTCTGAAAGGTAACTTACATTCTTTTTTCTTAATAATAATATAATGATAATAATAATAATAATAATAATAATAATAATAATAATAATAATAATAAAGCATTCTTGAATATAAAAAAATATTTACAAGTAACAAAGAAATACACTGAAAAGAAACTTCGTTAACTTGCTATAACTTAAGGTCAATTCATTCAATTGGTTTACAATTCATAATACAAATAAAGTTATATGGCTTCAAATCTATTTCAGAAAGAATAAGATGATTAGATGGATAAATTGATAGATAGACAATATAGCCATTAAACAAATCTGACAGTAACAAATCAGTCAAATCTGGTATGGCACAAGGAAGTAAACTAAAAATGAATACAATAAACAGACATTCAATAGATTTATTTAATGCAAATGCATTCAAGCAATAAGATCAGGCGTGCATAATGACAAGGAATTCCATATCCATTTCCTGCTTGCTGCAATGTCCTAGGGGTCTAACATACTGTAATCATATTATGAAGTGGATAGGAATGTAGTATGCGCTATTAATACATCTCACAGTTAAAGAAGTATTTCACATCTAAATTTCATGTACAGTAAAAATACAACTGATTACAATAAGACTTTGATAGGGATTCATACTCACAAATCAACAGATATAGATAAATAGATATGTGGATTTGTAAATTGGATGGATGGATGGAAAAGATGGGTGAAATATTGTTAATAATGGTAGTCAAACCAAACTAATCAGTGGTGTACGTACACATGGGCTTGAGCGCCTAATTATAACCTTCCCCCTAACCAACGCAACCATAATTGCTGAGCAATAACATTACGTTCAAATATAGCTCCCCATTCATTTTATGATTGAGTCCCCCATTTAATAATCGCGCGCCAATTTTCCCCCTGACAATATAGGGCGGATCCAGAATTTGTCAAAGGGGGTGGGGGAGCAGCATTTTTAGAATAGATAAGTGAGTAACGTTTATTTAAATACATAGCATTGATATGTACTGAAACTTTAATATTTTGTGGCAAAACGGGTAGGGGTACGTTCCCCCACCCCAACCCCCTCCCTTCTGGATCCGCGCCTGGTACTTAAATCAAGACGTTACCGTATATATCAAGAGAATCAAGTCTACAATAGCCTACCTTAATCAAGTACAGTTATCCTTGCATATTGCGATCAAAGAAATCAACTATATAATTGCCGTAACAGTTCATTACTTCTGCTGCAAATGACCAGAAAATCAAGAAGTGTACCTTTAAAATAAAAACGCAATGTACATGCAGCCCTCAACGGTGATCTTTGCTGAAACACGCACGAGGTATTTTTGATTGGTCAATAGTTATATCATTGAGTACGTTCTTAAATATTTAGTGATAATCTTCATTGGTAAAACCCAGAGGGGCAGGGATATGAACGGAGACACCGACCCTGTGCCCCTCGCAGAGTGATCCCACCCCTACAAAATTAATTAAAGAAGAACAGGGGTATTGAAATCATGAAATTTAATAAGATGAAAAATGAAGCATTAGATTAATAATTATTTAATAATATTAATAATAATGGTGGACTTATAAGACGCATATTTTCATGGCCTCATGCGCATCGCAATGTAAAAATATCAAAATAATATGTGGTTAAATATACTCCTACTCCTTAAACTAAGAAGTAGGAGTAACTTTGTTCAGCTGCCACGAAACAAGTGAGATACAAAATTCAAATTTAAGTCTGAATGAGTGCCATTTCCATGCATCTAGAGGTGCCATAATCATAACTTACTTTGCGACTCCCCAGAATAGACTATAGGTCCTTAATTAGACCTTTGCGACGCCCACGATGGGAGGAGTGTCTAAGGGAGGAAGAGCTTGCTCCGTCGGGAGGAAGTCAATAATTTTTTCGAGGAACACTGCTTTTAAAAAGCATTTTTACCATCTGAGAGAGAGCCATTTCCGAGCGTCTAGAGGGGCCTATTCTTTGTTCACCACAGCCCCAACCATGGTGGGGCTGAGGTGGGTGTGCAATACCTATTTCCCCCCATCCACCCCGTCAGAAAAATTCTAGATTCGCCCCTGTGTCCATTATGAGTTATAACGTTTAACACTGTCAAAGGTTTAGCTTTAAATTTGATTCCATAAATCTAAAAGTATTGCTATTGCATAATTTATTTAACAACATTGTTAAGGAGAGTTTAACAGTTCGGTTTTCACTGATGTTTTACATACCAAAACCTTAAATTTATTATTAAAGTTACATGCAAAAGAATATATCAAATTTATATAGGCCTACGCCAGTGGAATTACAAGATTGCTTTTTTCATAGCTCATTTCAATTAAAACTTAACTTATTAAAAATCAAAGAATAAGGTATTCTAATATTGAATTGAATTTTTCAAGTTTGTTAGCTGATCATAGACAGTTAAATGGTGGTTGGTGGCGGTATTCGTACAATTTGTGTTATCAAAATATAAGCTCTGAAATAAAAGACATAACTAGTCCACTTACAAGTTCACATCGTCATCGTCGGTACAGGACAGGCATTAAAGACCAGAGGGTGAACTTAGATGCAGTGAGCAGGTGTACTGCATTAACATCCGATCGAGATAGACAGCCTAGGATGTTCGCATTTTTACCAGACATAGAAAAACTGAGCTCTAAATATAGGACACAGTGAGGTACATTCGAAACAATATTATATAAATCAAGGTTTTAGTTTATTTTATTTGGACGAATGACAAATAACAAATAATTACCAAGTAGCCATATGCCTAGGAATGTTGCAGTTCATTACATCACCAATCACTGTACTTCAAATTTACTCACTATGGTATCATATCAAATATAATATAGCAATCAATAAATCATATCATTAAAATAGTATTCATCAATGTTTTTAAAGCGTGTCATTCAACAATGAAAAAGACACAATAAAATAAGCAACAACAAAAAAACTCTAAAAAGCTTCTAAAAGCATGATGTCAGATTACAAAATATTAGGATTAATATTTTAAATGACAAGGCATTTAAGAAAATGGAATATTCGAAAGAACAATTAAACATAAATCAAATGTTTTGTGTAATTATCAAATAGAATATAATTAAAATTATTATTATTATTAGGCATATTCATGTAAAAATTATTTTTATACATTATACATATATTTATATTTGAAACCTGATAAAATTATTTAGTAGTTTCATAATAATCAGATAATAAATCAGTCGTAAATTATAATCTATGATAATCAACCAAACCAAAACAATACAATACATCATTTTTTTTTAATTTGTCAAAATAGCCAAAAATATAAAATGAAAAAACAAAATCGAAATCAGCTGACAAAAACAAACCCTCATGAACCCTAAAAGGCTTGTTTAACAATAGAGAGGGGCCGTAGCAAAACGTATAATATAAACAGCATTAAAAATTAATTTTAAAAAAATAAAATATAAAATTTTAGTGATGAAAACAAATATATATACGGAACATTATAAAATGAAACGAAGAGGTATTTGGTATAAAGCAATAAAATCAACATAGGTCTTACATTAATACCATGTTCCTGAAAAAAAAAATGTTCAATTAATTGCAAATGAATGGTTTATATCTATACAGGTAAATTATTGTTCCTGCTTTATTTCAGCGTTAATTAAATAACTCAAATTATTGTATAAATAATAAGAGTTAAATATAACCCAAGAACCCATAAACAGTAGTAAGCATATATACCTTATTTATAAAAAAAAATATCATCCTGATGGTTTGTTAAAATATTTGACTAAAAAATCAAGAATATATCACCATGAAATCAACATATTTACTTGCGTTACATATAATAGGTATATAAAAAAATAGCGCAATCATTTAACTCTAATAAACATTACAATTATCAAATCCCAATGCTGTTTACCAAACAAACTAAGAATGTGCTCCTGATAGAGACATAAGTATACTGCAGAAACTAGGTCAAAATTACTTTAAACTTAGTCTTATCGACAAGGTGATATCAGCCATTGGTCATTTGTCTAAACATAGGTCCAATTAACAACTACCTGATAAAACTACATTTCACATTGTAGTTCAGTTTAGTTAAGTTTTGCCTGTTAATGTTTTGATTATCCTCTCCTTTTTCTATTGTATATTTTGTAAGACCGCACCACTGGTTGTGAGTGCCACCGATAGAAAGGTGAAGTGTCACAAATAAATAAATAAATAAATAACTGTACTTGGCGTCCCTGTCAAATGAATTGAAATGAACCTTAACACATTCCATTTTACAGAAAAATTCCATTCACACAGCATAGAGTATATTGCACAAGTGCAGTATACTATAATATCGTTAGCAAACCTAATGCAAAAAATATATAAACAATGTCTACATCTTCATTCTACACAGGGCTTCAAATTTAGGTCAACCTCTAAGTTTGTAATTGTAATTATTTATAATAGATTTTGAAAAAGCCACGACAGACGGAATAATATATTAAAACAAATATTAATGTCATGCAATTGTTGTTTTATAAATTAAGGCAAATATTTTAGAGAAATCTTTCAGGGTTTCTGTCATTTGATCCACTGATATTTGTGTGACCTAATAAACCTTGAATGTACAAAATTTCTGTGTAGTTTTAACGACTAAAGATCTTAAAAACCTCAAACTGCAACATCATAATATTTTTTTCGTTTCTTGAAAGGAAGTCACTCGTCAATGAGAAAGAAATAAACTATTACAACTATTGCTAAAAAGCTCCTTGTTGATTTTAAATCATATTAATTTACAAAATGGGTCAGTTTTATTATAAGTAGAATTCAACAAAATCTTATGGATACCCGTTGGTTATAAATAAGCCTATGAGCAGCTATGAACCTATGAGCAGCTATGAGCAGCTATGAGCCTATGAGCAGCTATGAGCCTATGAGCAGCTATGGGATGAGGAGGTTGTTGAACGCCTTTCATCTGCTTCCTCAGTTGGGTATTTGAGACACTTATCGGTTCCGTTTTCAGGATCGGCAATTGCTAAATCCACTCGTCCGCTTTCCGTTGCAACTGAAATTAATCCACAACAGAAGTGCATTATTATCTACATGTAAAGTTAGAAAATTAGAACAATACTTCAGTAATATACTATTACATATTATCAGCAAATTTAATCCTTTAATAGATTGTTTAAAGGTACTGAATGGATTTTATTACCGGACCAGCGCGTCGAATATTTTCCCGACCATCTATACGCGCTGTCTTTGTCCATGGCACTATAACTAATCGTATATAGCTTCTATTAATGCAGTTCCTAATAATTTACAAAATGGTCAGTTTTATTATGAGTAGAATTCAACAAGATCTTATGGATACCCATTGGTTATAAATAAGCCTATGAGACCACTGCCACTTAAATATCTCTACAATACGCAGGGGTTTTTTCTTATTATTATTATATTTATTTTCATGATTATATGTACAGCAATGACTGTCTACTTATTTTGATCTGTGTTTATGAATGATTTTGCTTTGTCTTAAGTATTTTGCTAAAGAGGGATACAGAGGTAAGCCAACAGAGGTAAGCCAATTGAGGTTTCTAATTTTCTATGCTGTCTCTCGGCCAAATTTCTTTTTATTTATACTTGTTTTCAATCGAATTGATTTGATTTCGTTCTTTTGTTTAAATTCACCATAGGCGGATTCAAGGGCGGGCCCAGCCGGCCCGGAGCCCCCTAAATTTGTCAAACCTTTTTTTAATTAGGAAAAAAGAAATCTTGAGTCTAGGAATGCCATTTCCTACCATCTAGAGGCGCCATAATCAAACATTTTCTTACCTCCGCCCCAACCATGGTGGTAGTACAGACTCTCCACCTGTGAAAGTTCCTCTCGGATCCAAGCCCCCTCTATTTTAAATTACTGGATCATCCACTGTTCGGTTGTTTAATTTGGTCAATAAATGTATTTTTGAATTAAAAGGTTTCTTTAAAAATTTGCACTGTGTGTACACAGAGTGGAAATAGTGTCGACATTGAACACAGAGTGACATTATTCCTTACTGTGTTCACTGGTTCACAACCTATCCACACAGTCAACAAACTGTTACAATGTGTTCACACACTGTTTATTCTTGGACAGTGCAAACCTCACCAGTTTCGGCCTAGTAAATAGTCACCACGTTTCACTCTGCTGTACACTGTGACATTTTTCAAAGAAGTAAAAATTCTGAATGATTGTTTATTGAGAGACGTACGCAACTATACAGTATTAAAACAAATCTAAAGTATTGGATAAACCTAGTTATTTGTAATAACATGAACTTATAATACCTCCTGGTTCTCACGAGAGCCCTAGTATCCGGATCGGGAGCTAACTGTTGTTAGCGCTAACCGTTAGCACCTGTGTGAGAACACAGGTGGCGCTTGCTAACCGTTAAGGCCAACTCAGACAGCGTCGGCCGACGCAACCCGACCCGATTTATCGTCGGGGACAGTCTTAAGCCGTCGTGAGAAATATCAAACATGTTTAATATTCTACCACGCGACTGCCGCCGACGCACACCATCGCGTCTGCGTTTAACTCACACAGACCCGACCAGGGACGTATCTCCCCACCCCCCTTTGTACACAGTGTTAAAATTTTAAAGCTTATTCTTGAGCCAATACAAATTCTTTCCTGGGATCACTCAAAATGAATACTTCTATACATGTAAATATGCATCAGTACACCTTATACATAGGCCTAATAGAACACATAGGCCTAAGCGTGATTTAAAAAAATCTTAAATATATAAATCTCAGGCCAGGTCTTTTAAGATAGAAATGCGATACTGTGGTTTAATTTCGTTTTTATCTTTTAATGTTTGTTTAATAATACTACTACTAATAGTAATAACGATAATAATAACAATGATGATGGTGACGACAGTAATAATTGATAATAATTTTAATAGCAATAAAAGGTGAAGAAAATTGTGCTAAATGCGAAAAAAAAAAAAGTTAGTAAGCTATAATTAGGCCTAAGTTATCCTGGATATTAAGTAGATCCCTGATAAAAAATCATGAGAAATTTGTTGGCGTTTCATTTTGACTATAATGGTAATGTGATGATGATGAATTTTACTATATAAAAGTGTCATTTCCAACAATCTCGAGAGGTACCATTTCCTCAAATTTTCTCACCTCAGCCCCAGCCATGGTGGGGCTGAGGTGGTTGTGAAATCACGTTTTTGAAGTAGGCCTATGTAAAGTACATACTCAAAGACAATGTTTTTAAGCTTTGTTTTCTATGGTATACACACATACATTAATAAGATCTCTATGGTTAACAAAAATCCCTGATAAAAGATCATGAGAATTGTTTTGGCAATTCATTTTGACTAATGGTGATGTGATGATGATGAATTTTACTAAAAGTGTCATTTCTGGTCATCTAGAGGTACTATTTCCTCAAATTTTCTCACCTCAGCTCCAACCATTGTGGGGCTGAGGTGGGTGTCGACTCACAAAATGCCCTCCACCTCCACCTTTCAAAACAGGTCTGTGCCCTTCCCTGGGTATGACATTAAACTCCATCGAATCGGCTCCTGATGTATGTCTTAGTGACTGCTGTTTGTTTTTAGAATGTGATCTGGTTTTTCATGTCCATTTTTCGTGATTGTGACTATTCTGGCAGTGGATAAAGAATGTTTTGAGCAGAGGTGGATTTAAGGCCCCCCCCACTTCATTTTTTTAAGGAAAAGAAAAAGAAAAATATATTCAAATTGAAGTGCGAGAGTGTAATTTCCGGCCATCTAGAGATGCTCTAGTCATAAATTTTCTTACCTCAGCTCCAACCATGGTGGGGCTGAGGTGGGTGGTTCCTCGGTCTGTGAAAGTCCCTCCCTGGTTCACCTCTCTTTCGAATTCCTGGATCGGCCACTGTTGATTTATTATATAATTATTTTTGTGCTTATTTATAATGCGTCTATTGCAATTTTCAATTTATCCTCTCAAACAGTCCTAAGAACGTTCAGAGTGCGCTACTTTACAGGGAGATTCGCCTCCTTGACCCTGCCGGGG